CTACCGAGCTCAGTTATCGTTACTGAGTCACGTAAAACGCACGCGCCTACGAGTACAGACAATCGAAAAATGAGAAATGAGAACTTTGTTTCGTCTTCCCGTAACTGGTTGAATAATGTCACAAATGCATCCACAGAACTTGAGCAGTGGATGAACTTGAAGTCTTTTTCTTCGTTGCTGTTGAAGTTTTCGTTTCTTTTTCCATAAATAATACACGGCAGCAACTCGAACATTCATGGTGAGCACGTCTGTACTTGGCCGCGGTCAGAATAACTCTAAAACGAGTTGGCGCTGACAGCTACGCGTTGATCCGCCAGCGCCGAGCGTCAGCGTGTCTCTCAAACCAGCCTTACCATGACGTGTCCACTTTTATTTGTAACATTTGAAGTGGAGGTCTTTGTGCCTATCATACAACGCTCTTAATAGCTGTCATTTTTAGATTTTCTTATAAAATAACAGTGTCGCTACAATCCCTTTGGTCTTAGCCACAGATTTCTGTATTCTGTTGTCATTACATTTTTTCTCAATAGGCAAGTAGGTAGCCTTCTATGCCCGACACATGCTCCATTATTTGGTCTAAGGCTTGCCCATTACCTACGTCTTCACCGTACGAGCGAGTGTTAAATGCTTTGCTAGCTCCAGCCTCGTTTTCGTAGGGAAATGCGTTACGCAACCTCTTCCGCGGCACGACTGCCTTTTGGTGGAGGGTTATGTGGGACTGGCTTCTGTGCATACCCACTAAAACCCTACGCTGCCACCAGCAATCGCCCGAGGCAGGACACGGTAGTGGACTCGTCCGCATCAGCTGTTGAAATCACGGCCCTCTATGGCCATGAATGATGTGGAATGGACTAGGGATGCTCGATTATCATCGATGTTGAAAGCAAAAACATCGATGTTGCTTTACCGAAAATATAGTAACATCGATGTTAACTCACGGCCTCCCGCACGACCAATGCAACTTACGAAAAAAATTATATCTTCTATGAACGCATTCACAAATCAGGTTTATTAAAATTTTGAACGCGCATTCATTCTTTAAGCCCAGGTCGTTCCCTTCGTTCGTTCTTCGTTGTCTCGCTCGGTCTTTCTCTCTCACACTAAAAGGTTCCTCTTTATCAAAATTACTTTTCAATTCAATACTTATTAAATTTTCAGGCAAAGTGGATTGGGTACAATGCGACGGAGGCTGCGATCAGTGGTTCCACATGCATTGCGTGGGCTTGAGTCGCGGCGCGTTGCGTGAAGACGACGACTACGTGTGCGGTTCGTGCGCGCAAAAAAGAGATACGATACATTAAGTATGTACAGATTAGAATGGCTATGTACAGGATAACCGTGAGTTTCATTAACGTAAACATGCTTTAGGGTAAGATTCAGAGACGTGTCAATGACTTTGAATCTTACGTTAGACCTTAATAAATACAGCTTATTTTTACATGCACTCTACCACAAGAACTTTGTAAAATTTGTGGATTTTTTTCTGTATATAAACTTATGGTTATTATTAGTTTTTACCCGGACTTGCCGATTTGTGTATTAGATTAAGGCTGAGCATATTTTTAGTATTACGTGACCTTATTATACACATTCTCATGAACTCAAACTCGATCAGTTCCCATAAAGTACTAACGAGTCCGTAGGTGTACTGTTGTGTTAAATTTAATCAGTTGGTAATATGGGAACTGATTGTTTAGACTACTGGATTTGACAATTGAATGACCAAATAACGTCTTGATGAAGTTTTTAATATTTCATATTGGTCTCAAATAATAATGGAGAATTTATATAAATATTAAAAAAAAATATCAGTGTACATGACAATTAAATTTTGGAAAATATAAATAACTTCGGACTTGAAATTACGATGCATTCGTCTAAGGATGTATTATGAACAATTTAACGAATTATAGAATAAATTGAGGTATGAATTTATGAATTGTTATTCAAGCAATACCATTAAACCACATTTGATAAAAAGGGATTTAAACGCGAATTAATGATATTAAATAGACCTTTTGACTGCTTACAGTGGTCGCTGTCCAAAGTTTTCAAATCGTGATAGAAAAATTAAAATCGCGTTTGAATCCAAATAATACACGTATCAACACGTAAGCGAATCGGTATAAATAATATTTAAACTCCAAAAGCATACAATCTAGTCAAAGCATTTTTTTAAGACAGCGGAAAAATATGTTTTTTATTATTCAATTATTAGAACTTACATACATATACATATTAATGCCGTTTCGCTTACATACCATACATCCAAACTTTAGCTGGTAACAGTTATAGTTTGTATATATGGAGTTTAATTTAAAACAAATATCAATGAAATAAAAAAAATATTACATCTTTTGTAATCTCGTAATTTCCCAATACGTCCCACACTTGGGGCAGATTTAGTTAACGTGTGTAACTCGCATGTCCTATCAATATTCTTTTAGCAGAGAAATCTAATTAAAACTAACGGAACTGTTCCCATGCATTACTATTAGCACCAACATTTCTTGACTTATACAGTAGACAATTGACAGCGAAATAATGAACCTTCCGTCTTAGAGATAGGGTCTCTTTTGCATTGATTATTACGTGCACTTAAAGATTGATTATAGGGCTCATGGCTTTGCCCAGTTCTATTCATGAACGTAGTAGAAACCTCAAAGAGTTAATATATTATCTAAATGAAAAGATCGGAGGATTAGTAACTTAAGGGTGAGATTTGGGAACGGGAGTTAGCGCGAACTATTACTCGCCTATGTCAAAATCCAATATATTTTTAACGTATGGGAAACTTAGAGCTAAGTCTGGATTAAATCTTACCCTAGCCATCGATTCTCAATCAGAGGGTACAAATAATTCGTTAAAAATCGCTGGCGGGCTATACATAATAATTTTACAGTGACGGGGTCGCAAGACTGTTTTACTTAACTTTTTGGCTTTGTGGGTCGCGAAATAAAAATGATTGAGAAACGATGCCCTAAGCGTACAGATCGCGGGAAGTGTTTTTTGTATCTTTTTTAAGTTTTCTATATAACTAACACAATAGTGATATGGACAAAACTGCAATTTGAGGTTTTTAGTATGAAAATATAGTAAATTGTGATCTTCACTTCTATTATTTGCAAATAGAGCAATAACTTTGAAAATGATACTCTAAATAAAACTTCTTTATCCATCTTAACAAGATATTTACCAGTTTTTGTACATTATTTATGTTACTCTACATTTTGATTGCGAGTCTCGCTAACTGAAAAGTACTCAAAATTTCCGAGTTTTAAATAATCTAATAATTCGCGTGATGTTCAGTTAGAAGTCTTATATAAATAATAAAGCAAAGCATACGAATTTTCTTTATGGCAAATTGTATTTTTTGGCTGTCTTTTAGTGGTGGCTTAACAAACATAAGTGAGATTTTTCACTTTTAAAAAGTGAGAATAAGCGTTTTCAAACGTAAAGTGAACTTTGTTCATTAAAATTGGCTAAATCTTTACGAATGATTTTCAATAGTAAATAACAAAATTGTTCAATGGTACACGATTTCGTTTCCATGGTTAGTTTTGTTGTTTATGTATTGGATAGTACGGTTATTTACAATAGTGGAAACTTGAATAATTGTTAAGTCCCGTCTAAATCTTGTAAGTCCTGTAAACTGATTTTTTATTTACCTATTTGATACTTCAGTACACTTTGACAAAAACAATGTTTGTTTAGCGGAAAATTTTACTTAAGACCTGCTATGAACCTTGGTAATCATAGCCTAATTAATTTTCAACTTAATACAGATATAAAAACATCTTTACATTTAATTTTATGATTTTCTAGATTTTTTGTTAAATAGACACAAGTTGTTTTATATGTGAAAATAACTTATTAGTTATTTAGTTTAAAAAACAATACATCGGCTAGTTATATTCACAGAGTAGAAAGAAGGACAAAGACAAACGAGAAACAGACTTGACATAAAAGATAACTCTAGTCTATGGAAAAAAGGGCGCGAAATTTAAATATCACAACATTTTTAAAGTTTCCACTTGTAAATAACAGGGATATTGCATGACTGTAAAGCAAGAAACAACATTTAATATTTGTGCATTATGAAATAGACTAACACAAAGTCTTGCTAAGTGGTCGCGGGCCGGATTTAGAATAACGGCCTTGGGAGGTGTCGAAGCCAAAATCGAGTGTTCAAAATTTTGTAAAATTGAAAACGCTTCTAGATAACCAGAATGAAAAATTGTAAATATTTTTTTAATGCGTTAAATGATTTTTATGTGTATTTTAGATGCGAATGGACTTGTGTGGATATTGTGAATACATTATTGATTTGAGACTTCTAAGCGAAGCTCGAGGGCGTGAGATTTTAAATAAAACATATTTCATTTAAAGTGGAATTTATTATAATAGTTTCATTTTGTTGATTGTAGAAGTTGGTTTCAATTAAATTTGTAGCACAATATTAATTGCCTAACAATCAAATACATATATATTTATATAGAAACAGTTAAAACAATATTAAAGTGTGTGAAGGATGAATATATTGCTGTCTCATTTCCTCCGAGCTAAGCCTAGATACACCTGTATCAAAGCCTACGAAATAGATTCGTATCTTTTATGAGTATACTATGTGTATAATTTTTAATTCTTAGGTTAATTTTTATTACCCCTGACGAACTTATTTTGAATATTTAATAGATCGGATTTAATTAAACTTATTTAGGAACTCAATGGTTATGAAAAGTGATTGGTCTACATACAATTGAATACATCGAGAATGTTCCTTTCTATATTAAAATATTCTAAGTGAGGTCGTCATATTTAAATTATTACCCGGTATCTTTTGGACTGTGATTAGAATTTATTCTGATATTAAGTTGCCAATGTCAAATTTTGTGTAATGTCACTTAAACAGATTAAGCATAGCGTAAAGTTGTTATTTTATTATAAAGCAACAATTCATTTTAACTAAATATTTTTATTTATATTTTTAAGTTATTTTAATGAATGAAATCTTAAAGTACTTGCGATTTTTGAGCAATGTTTGATGTTTAAATAGAGTCATTATCAGCTGACAAAAATGTTTATGCATGCACAAGGCAATTTAAAATTAAAAAAGGCATATTTATGATTTTATCTTTTGTACGTCTAGTTTTAATTTTTTCATCTATTTATACATCGCAACAATGGACTTTATGCTATGCACGTTACAGCCTTGATGTATACGTAAGTTATATTGGGGTAGAAGATGTATCGAGCCGAGAAATATGTTCTTTCAAATGTCAACTTTCGCTATGAAATATTATGGTTGAATTTCACTTGCATTTGAACCAGTGTAAAGGAAGTCTTAAGATAATAATAACTTACGTATACTCAGAGGTACCCTTCTGATCTGATGTTAAATGTGCGAATGGAGTTGTACAGATGATAGATATGGTGTCGTGTGTGCAACTACACCGGCGAACGAGATGTGTATAAACTGTTAAGTCGATAAATGATTAAAAGCTCACATCGCCGAGTATGGTTGGACATCGCGACCGTTATTGTGTACCAAATAATATAGACAATTATTAAATATTTCTTGTTTTATTTATTACATTACCTATAAATATATTTTAGAACTTTAGTATAAGGTTAAGTACCATACCATGAGTATTGATTTGCCCTAAAAATAGTCTTCAAGGCTTTGGGTGGGAGAGGAATAGCAAGGACGCAATACGAAACGTAGCGTTTGGTTGTGAACGGCCAAAAGGACTTAAAATTTTTGGACTGAAATGCTGTTTTAATAATCAATAAAAGTACATTCTCAACCACTGCAATTGTTTCGGCGTAGACGGTACGGTATGATTATCATATACTAGCCAGTAAATATAATGATTTAAGAAACAGAAGGAACCTGTCGATGCTTTATTTCTCAACTGCTAATTAAGTATGTAAGAATATTAAACTCTATTTTATATGCTTAATGAGAAGAAGCTGCCACGACGGCTGATTTTTAACAAGGAATATCGCAGTCGACATTCCACGATAAAAGTTAGGTACTTGTACTGAATGAGACTAAGGGTCAGAGAGTCAACGCGTTTATCCAAAACTGAACATAACAAATGCAACCTTAACTCCACAGCGTAACACACGAGAATGCGCGCGCACCAATCAGCGTTGGTCACGCGCTGAAGCGCGAATTCAGAAGAATACGCGCGTCTTTAAAAAAAAATAATTTGTGTGTTACATTACTTCTGAGATTGACCCTTACATGTTACAAATGTTGTTAGTAGCGCCAATTTTATCACTATAATGTAAGTGTTGAACTAAATATCTGTTCAGACACTCTCCTTTTATAAATTTCTATTGGGTTAGACTGCAACGACAGTCGTGCTTCAATTTCGTCCAATCTCAAAGGTTTACCTCGAAATTCGTCTTCTATTTGCTGTAATGTCTTCCCTCTCGTTTCAGGAAGCAACAACCACACTATAAAAACGTTTACTATCAAAATTACCGAGTATAGATAGTACGTGCCATGCAAGCCCAAATTATCCATGAGCTGTAGGAACGTTAAGAGTACGACAAACGTAAACATTCCACCAGTTGCTAAACTTATCGATCCACCTATACTTCTGTATTGTAATGGAAATACCTCTCCACCTATTATGTTCGGTAGGGGCACCATGCCCACTGCCACAGTAAAATACTGTATATTGATCAGAAGCGCTGGTAACCACACGGAACTGTAATTCCAGCCCATCAGCCGGCAAAGAACGTAAGTGGCAATAGCAATGTGACTTATCACACACAATCCAGCAGTTGAAAACATCATCGTTCGTCGCTTCACTTTGTTCATAATGTAAACGGCCAAGAAATTGCTTATTAACCGCTGTGTATCCAAGAAAACCATCCAAAATGCCACATCGCCTTGTGGTATCAGTTTGCCAATTATCGAAGGCGCAAAAACTGCCATAGTCGTTCCACCGGAAAATTGTGTGATGATATTTAAATGAGCCATTAAAATTATGGGTTTATAGAACTCTTTCTTTTTTATAGTGCGAATAATATCGACGATTTTATTCCTATTATGATTTGTGGTTGCTTCGTATTTCTCAAAAGCCAACCTTGCTTGAATCATGTCTTCTAGTTCTTCATCTTCTTCATTGCCTCTGAGCCATCGGAACACCTCTTTGCATTCATCAATACGTCCTCTTGTTAGGAGCCAACTGGGAGATTCTGGTGCGTATATGGTCATCAGTAAACTTACAAACGGAAAGAAGACTGAGATAAAAGCAGTCATTTGCCAGCTGAAGCAGGATCCTATTAAATGTACGAAGAATATGCCGAAGGCTTGTGAAAATGATATCGTGGTTAAGAATGCTCCACGGTTTTTGGGGCTGGTGTATTCACCAATAAGGACAGATCGAAGAGTATTGAGCATTCCCCCTGAGATCCCTTGGAGTGCTCTTGCGATGATAATTTCCTGGAAGAAAAATAACTTTTTAACGATGTACCGAAGTCTTTATTATATTAGTGATGAGAACGGATTCTAAAATGATGTAGGACATAACTTCTAAATATTATATGCTTCTTGAGTGTTGCAGTCTTGAGTTTTTGAAGTTATACTTCTTTAGGCGCGTTATGAAAAATTTATGAGAGTGAAATTTTACGATGCGCGCGCACCGTGACACAAAATTATCAGTATGGGCGCCGAGCGTGCGCGAGCGAGATGGGAATAAGACAATCTACAAGTAAAAAGATATAGAATATGCGTGACGTTAGCAGCTATGCCAAGAATTTTGAATGACCATAATGACATTTGTAGTACCTTTTAAACAAATAAAGTAGTTTTAATTATTTTTTCAAAGAAATTTAGTAATGCTTTTTCACAAAGACCTATTGTTACTTAGTTAAAAGGTTATGAAACATACCTAGTTATTAAATTGAATTAATAATATAAGAAAATAATAAATAATTATTAATATTAATTATTAATTGAATAAAATATTAAATATTGTTAAATTATTAACGCTAAATATTTATTATTAATTATTTAATATTTAAAAAAAATAAATAACTCTAACTTTGAATAATTGGAAGTCGTTTAAGTAGTGAAGATTCTCATCAAAACAAGTTTTACTTATAAGTTTACGTTTTTCTCGTTAGATTTTCACAGATTATTGTACTTAAAAATATCATACATATTCTCTTTATACTTACAGCAACACTAGAAGCAATAGTAAGCATGAACCATCCAACCAACGCTGGCATAATTAGGATAACATGAGTTGCCTTACGTCCATAGCGGTCCATTAATGGCGTAGCAAAAAAGAAACCCGGGATCATGAATAGGGGTAGCATACCAGCTGAAAAATATTAAGCGATAATTATAATTTAATCTTTATTTAACTTTGATGTAAAAAAGGGTCATGCCGTATTCTATGGTAGTCAAAATTGCGTGTAAAATGTTGTTTCAAACATTTATTGACTACTGTATCTTTCTAGAAAAAAATACCTCGGTAATTACGTACTTACTGTTTTTTTTATTTAAAAGCAGGAGAATCACCTGATGTTAAGTGATACTGCCGTCCGTAGACACTTTCATTGCCAGAATGCCCGCAAGTGCGTCGTTTTAAGAATTGGTACACTCTTGAAGGACTCTAAATCGAATTGGTTCGGAAATACTTCAGTGGGTAGGTGGCTCCACTTAGTAATGGTATGCGGCAAAAACTGCCTTAATAACGAAGAATTGTGAAACGACGTACTTCGAGGTGATACGGGTGGAATTTCGTATTCTACCTCGAGGTCCAGTGATTAAGTCATCTATTAATCCGAACAACTCCTCTGAACACTCCCAGTCTGAAACTCCAAGTGGCAGAGTTTCGAATTCAGACATTAGTTTGTTCCTATACTTATTGTCAACTCCCGAGAAATACCTGCACGGCCAGGGTATAGAGTATCCCCATTTCTATCGTCCGCATAGCAATGAACGTTTCTAAGTTGCAACACATTGATATGCAGAAAAAACAGGGTCGCGGATAGGACACAGCCTTGAGGGACACCTGCGTTCACGGGTTTGAAGTCGGACCATGCTCCGTCAATGACGACCTTGATACTCTGATCAGCGAGAAAGTTGGAAATCCAATTGTATATTAGGCTGGGAACTTAGAATTAGCGCCAGCAGCTACCCCTTAGACTCAATTGTCTCTGCCCATCTATTTGTAAGGTAAACGAGAAGGTCAAGCTGTGCGACCACAATAGGCCATACTGACGATCGCTAATCAGCTAGTGGCCCTCTAGTTATCTCAGGAGCTGGCTGTTAAAATGGTATTCCATTATTTTGGAGCACAAGGAGGTTATAGCTGTAGTTGGACGGATCAGATCAAATGCCGTTTTTAGGGATCGGATGTATTAAAGCAGGCTTCCACAACGTGGGTGGTGGTTAGTTTTAAGGGTAAAAAACGGTTTATCTCGATTTCCGGCAAAACTAAAATTCCTATCGAAGAAAGTTAAATGGCAAAGTTGTAGGTAATAAAAAGATCTAAAACTTTTGTATTCACACATTTTTCACATAACCTCAAAATTTATGTGAAAAATTCAAAAAACCAAGTTTTTGGTTTTTGATTTTTATCTTTTACAAAAATATTTTTTTTTAACGAAATTTGGTGAAAACTTAACTTTCTATGTCCCAAATACGCTGTAATTTATTTGATTAAAAATATTTATTTGTTCACCTTATTTTGAATTAATATCGAAAAAACACCCTAATTTTCAATCGAAAATTCTGACATCAAAATTTCAGCTTTTTTCAAAAAGTTGGTGTGCTTTCAGTTCGTTGAAATCTCTACTTTCCTATGGTAAAAAAATATATATATATTACCATAGTAAATCTTCTCAGAAAATGCAAAAAATCGTATGCAGTAACGCCCAGACCCGTCATCACCTTCCCTACTTCTCCTCCTTTTCCAATAGGTTTCATCCTACTATTATTTTTTTAGGTTTCAAAAATTATCGGCACTGGTCTAAGGTGGCTCAATTTCTCGCCAAATCTGTTAATGTGCTCTGACTTTGCTCTAGCGATTTCCCATTTGAAGGACCTGGAGGCTGAGTTATAGGCTTTTTTAAGTTCGCCGATAGTCCCATCATAAGATGTTGCCGCTTCTGCCCAGGCTTTAAAGCATTCTCGAAAACCAAGGTTGGGATTTTTCACCGGTCGGCACCGCAGAGAATGGAATAAAAAGTTCCATACCCTTCCACCACCTCCGCGACAGGGTCAGCAACGGCATCAGGAGTACTCGTCAGACCTATGTCGTGGAGGGCGCGTGAACGGCACACAGCATCGAACCACGCAATGTTCCGATGAACCCTACGAGTCAGCAGAAGGTCCAACAAAGAGGATTTAAGACCAACCACATCTGGTAATCGCAGAAACCTATAATTTTGATACTTGTAAGCGGTGATAAAAAATATAAACCACCTTACCGATCCATGCTTCTTCAGTCTTTGAAAGTGGTATTTCGGTGTCCTTAGACTTAAGCGTTGGAAGCTGAACTGCTAAATAGCCAAAAGCAGCACCTTGCCCGATTATATTGCAACAAATCGCCGCTGTTACAAAACACTGAAATATATAAGTCATTAATTCCTCTGAAAACTTATATTGTGTAAGAATCCAAGAGAATTGTATGTTGAGTAGTGAGATGACAATTCTGTATGTAGGGTATACTGGCTACGGTTGAATCGTGGTACAATGTACCCCAACCCCATGCAAAGGGAAAAGGACTACCAGAAATGAGACCACTGTTCCTTTTAACTGTGTTATTACATGTTGTTAAAATGGTATTTACGATAAGTAAAATATGTTCATTTATTAAATTTTTTTTTTGCATGCGTTTTAATTGACACCAAGAATTGTTTCAACTGACCCTGGCATAGGGACGGTTGAAAGTTGAAACAAATGTCATTTTTATTAAAATCTGGTTTTACACATCAAATACAATATAATGATCTCAAATAACATTGCCCATTGGTAGACGGATCTTTAATTTAAAACATTTCTGTCATCGCTTGTAGAATTAATTCTGACGCAACAGATGACGGTAGCAAAATTGTTTACCTACCGTACCCAGTCTACCCTGCTGATAAATTTCTTTAAAGCTTTTTGAAAAGTATCGCTATTGGAACTTTTAGAGAATTGGACCCAACACTTTCAGGTCCATATGCGTTGCTGGCGGAGCCAAAATTATACAAATATACATAGAATTACTAAAGTTATGCATTATCGTATCATAAAATAGTCGTTGTACATCTTACTTGTTTTAAAAACGGCGACCCTTTCCCATTGCTTGACATAATTAATTCCACTATAAGCTTCTTATTTCTTCATAACACCTCATTACTACATTATAACAATGAAATGTATTTTTACCTCAACCACACCGCGCTACTTATCGCGTATTATCTTTAAGATTTGAAATATGTTATTCGCTGATATAATATCAGTTATGAATGTCATCTTAAATCTTTTTATTGAATAATCTACACCGAGCCATGTTCGTCTTATTGTGTAGAACGCGGAATAGATAAAAATGAAAGAGTGACGTTGGCATCGCGTGCAGAAATATAAAGGATTGTATTAGATAACGTTTATAAAACGTTTAACCTAAACATAATAATCAAATATACAGTATTTACAATTTTCTTAACCTACATAGTAATAATAAAAATAATTAGCAATTAATAAAATGAAAATTAAAACAAATTTTGATCCCTGTGGCAGTGTACCTTTAACGCTGGCAGCATTTCCTCGCTGTATTGCGATATATTAGCTGAGCGAGGAAAGCATCAGCTCAACCAGACGTCAACTTAAATCTTTAATCAGCGCCTGTGCACTTGAACCTCACGGCCCAAGAATGTCTACTCCAAAAGGAACATAATCGAAGTTGGAGGAAAGACTTTTAACACTTAGATGGATTGGTACAAATAAAAACGTTTTAATCTAGGTTAACTTACAAAAAAAACAATAAACAAACTAAATTTGTGAGCAACGCTAACTAATTAAAAAAGTATATTTTGAGATATCCAGAAAAGTACGTCTTTCTAGGCTATGGATAGAAGTTGATAGAACCTATAGAAATTTGATGGTAGAAATTCGAATTGTTTTTACTCCAATCTGATTTCTGTACAAGCCTCGCAAATAATGAAGCTCCTTTGCTCAATCAAAATCAGTATAAAATAATTTAATAATTTTTTTTTTAAGTACCTTTTTTTTTTTTACTTCTGCGCAATAACGGTCAGCGCTAGAGTTTCGTGCCACTACTTGTAGGCACGGATAGGCGCGCCTGGCACTCGCGCAACTCGTACGGGCGTTGACGCGCTTCTAAGCTCATATAAGTTCGCAATTCTGGGTAGAGTGTATTCAAGTGACCGGTTCTCTGTCTTGATGCAACCATCGTTGACACCCATCTTTTTCGTCTTCTCAGTCGACGGCGAATAAGTAACGCAAATAGCAATGTTTCTTCGTCAGAATCCATGTTGATACTGACACGACGCCACTACCGGTTCTAGCAAACACGCCGAAATATGCCAGTTTACCCGCGTCTGGTTTTTAGAAGCGCGTATTGTAGCGTGAGTTTAAGCGCGTATCTTGAAACGACTGTATACGCGCAGAAAAATACGCTAGTCTGAAACCGCCCTAATAGGCGAGCGATCTATTAGCTTATTCTCTACCAGTGGTTGTGGGTAAAGTCCTAGCTAATTAAGCCAGCGTAGCTCGTTCCAGAAGCTCAGAAGTTTCCTTGGTATTTAAAATGCTTAACGAAGAACATTCATCGCTAGAGTCAGTGGCGGATTTATAGATTTGCCGCCCGTATGCTATTCAATTTTTGCCGCCTCTAGTTTTTGATATCTTAAGTCCACAATCATATCAATTTTCTATCAATAAAATTCCAACTTTATAACTTTTTTATACATCAGGAGCCCGCTTCGGCTCACGTAGTAACCCTATCGCGCTGCACTTGTGCTATCCATTCAGCCAGACACTCTTACCGAATCGTCATGTCGTTTGTTCTGGCGTTACAATACAAATACGACTACGCAATTGCATGCCTTAAGTGCGAAGGGCGTAGTAGGTATGCTCTACTCTTGCCTAAAAATCTAAATCCGATGTTTTCTCACATTTAACCGTACCTAACAAATATGATGTACATGAATATTATTTAAAAAGCAACTTATCGGAAAGAAAAATAATCGCCGAGCTTATAAAAATAATTTTTTCGGTTATGATTAATTATTTTTTATTTAAAAGGAAGTAATTTTAATGCCATATCGTATGGATTTTGGATGATCGTGTTCACAGTAAACAGTTTTTTTTAAATATACTTGTTTAACTGGAGAGAAGCCGTTGAATAAAAAATTGCAGCTGAGTATTGTTTTATCTTATTATAATTAATTCATTCCGATTGGCATTTTCTGAAAAAGTTGGCTTTGCGAAAAAGTTATCAAATCTACTGATGTAAACATTTAATTTAAATAATTCGTGTACGACATGAGCGCTTAAGGCCTGCTCATTTGGATTTTCCAAACTTTTCTTACTGCAAATAAAATAATTAACTGATAAAATGTATCAATTTTCTAATGAGCAAATTGTCTCACTTCATATTTTGTGGAGGAATTTTTTTATTGTCAAGTCACAGTCGTTCAACTATCAGTTATTTCATTAATATGATCTCTATAAGATATTGAACTAGTTTTTTATTTAATAAAAAATTAGTCAATTTTAGTCAGTATTTTTATTAAACCATCGATATTATATCGATTGAATTGGGTAAGCAGATCTCATAATTATTAGGTACACGGAGAAAAAATTATAGCAGTTATCAGTGAAGAATATATGTAAAAATTACTAAGTTTCGATTATAATATCGAATCGCGATATTCTAAAAGTTCATAATCATTAATGTATAATTAGTAAAGCGTTTAGGAATTGTTCATGCAGAGATGTTGAAATATTTATTAATTAGCACTGTATATGAGAATATTTCGATTTTTGTTAAATATTGTAATTTCTCTCCAATTTTCGGAATTCGTATTATGTGTGTGTATAATAATTTTTTTTTTAATTTGTAAACCGAAATAAAAAATTTATGAACTAAATTTGCCGCCCCTTAAAATTTGCCGCCCTAGGCTCCAGCCTACTCAGCCTGCTGGTAAATCCGCCACTGGCTAGAGTTCTCTTTCGGTGTGACAAAACATCCACTTCAAGATGTAACGTAGCCGAAACATCAGTACCAGCTGTACCGCTTTTTGCGAATGTATCACCCAACTGCAAACCTATTGATGTTAAGTCTCGAAGGGACAGCAAAGAGGATAGTGAATTTATTAAAGAGGAAATCAGAAACCTTATATTCATTAAAGGCTGAGCTGTGAGGTCGCTCCATTATGAAGCTCAGCCTCAGCTCAGAGCATTTCTGTTCGTTGGGAAGCCACAGCCACGCATTTCAGGACTACGTAGGTGACTGATTCCTGCGCGCTAATACAGCCTCCGCTTGTGTTCCTGGGTGGAAATACCTAGTGCGACCCCCGGGGAGTTCAATGGAGCGGTATGGAGGGCTCACAAAATTTTTTTTTTAGGATTACAATTCTGGATCGGTTTAATTAATTATTTTCTTTTGTCTCTCCAAAGTGCATTGATTCTATAGCCACGAATCATACAGTGGTTAACCACTAAGTTATGGAGGCAATACCTACAGTATCCTAACTGAAAATCAATAATTTTACATACGATAGTTAAACATTCTTAGATAATGGATCATTCTTAGATATTTCCTGTAATAAAAAATGCTAAAAATCTATAGAGTCGCCTGGATGTTGGAACTAAATTTAACGAATATTTATACTTATACGAAGGTAACAACTATAATATTTGGCAAGTAACATTTTTTTAAAACGTATTTACCACCGTGACCCAGTGGCTTAAAGTACATCGTGTATAATGCACAGTTCAGTCCAGAGTTCAATGGCCAAACAATAGAAGGAGACTTGTAAAAATATCCCACATCAAATTTTTAATTAAAACACATTCATACAGCGTTATATTCTTATAGTGGTAGACTCTTCATTGCTCTGGTATGAAAACTATTTTAAATTCTTTCTGTTATTGTTTCATAAATCATTCTTAATTGGTCATTCTGAAATATGATCACCTGCGCTTAGCAAACTTAAACAAAACCTTGTCGGAAATCGAACCAGGACCTCCGCACCATACGCCAGAAACGCCTAACCATGAAGCCAATTATTTATGTATATCTAATTCAATTAATTTCAACTGACAATTATTTATATTCGCCCACGTCCTAAGCCCCACTCCACGCATCCCATAGTCTATAGGCGCGGTTCCACGCCTCACTGCCACCATTGGAAGACCAAAAACCGTGGTAGCCACTCGTCCCAATCAGTATGAAGACCATGTCCTTAGCAGAAGGTGCCTCTGACTCAGAACACAGACAGGAAGACGAGAAAATCGAGCAGAAAAATTCAGACAAGGGTCGCGGATCGGTAAGTGATAAAAAATTATTTTTATTTTTTAAATGTATTTTAAGTGTTTAAGAGAACTCAGAGTCGTTCATTGATATGGTTATTTAAGTAAATATCTAGATAAGTTCACCGCCCATTTGGTAGGTAAAACACGTCATTCATCTGTACCTTGGGGGATAATTAAAGTTAATTAATCGACATTGAATTTCTCAACTTAATTTCCTCTATCTTTAGACATATATATGTATATTAATTTAGCATTCGATATAGTGTCATTTTAAATGTAAGGAATGTGTGTCGTTTAAAAAGAGGTTACATAGTTTAGTTTAGCAGTCGCCGGTAGTATATTTTTATGGTGAACATTATTTAATGGAAAGGTGGCTTCGAAAAGTACCTTATCAAACATAAAAAAATGGTATTAAGGGAAGATCCAACTTCGAATATCACATTAAGAATTTTTGCTTCAAAACTGTGCCAGGCGTTATTTTTAATAATAACTAAAAAGTACACCAAATAATAACCCATTTCATTCAGAAAATATAGGTTTTTATAACTATTTTTTACAGTGTAAACAAATGACTTTAAATATACGTTAGAATGCAGTAGCAAGGCCCTAAAGTCATATGCAGTTCAGACATTAAAATCACTACTAAAGTATTTCTTACTAAATTCTCTACGACGAAAATTAAAGCAGCTCTGGAAGTAAACCTACCTCGTAAATTTAATAGCAATTATGATCCTCATTTTAAGTTTTCGTACCATCTTATTTCAAATTTTCGACAATACATAATAACTAAACCAAAAATAGGTTTCGTCGCTAAAGGTTTAAATTTAGTATTTTTATCAGCGCTTTGTAATTGTGTGTATTCCAGTGATTCCAGCAACTTATTGAATAATAATAGTATATTAAAAAAAAAACACATCATTACTATTTGTATAGACGCTAGTCCATGCTTTGCAAATCCATGAGTTGAGGGTAACTAATTACTCTTCCGTGGTAAATATATAATAGAAACTACAATAGAAAATTAAAGGTAAATATTTGTATATAAAAAAAAAATTGTGAAATCTGTTTGTGAGAGAAGTGTGTGTGTGTGTGTGTGTGTACACGCGCTTTGACTTGTTCAGAATTCAGACCAAAATAGGGCGCTATTAAATTTTGAAATTGTCTTACACCGTTGTAAACTAATATAGGTTATACAATATACAGAGAATGCCAGCTCGTTCTATTTATTTATTTATTTACAAAAGCTTGCCAACTGATACATTGTTAGAAAAAAATACAATATTTAATGTGACAAGAACTTATAGGCAAACATAACATACACGAAGAAATATTTAAAAAAAACTTTAGAGGTGTCAAGGGACACCCGGATGGAACGAAATTCCTTTCGATTAATTTGTTAATTGGTATCATAACAGTATGATAGATTATCTCGACACCAATCTTACGACGAAAAAAAAAAGCCAACATCACGAGGTGTTCCCAGGCGGTCACCCATCCAAGTACTGACCACGCCCGACGTTGCTTAACTTCGGTGATCGGACGAGAACCGGTGTATGTATGTATGTATATGTACAATAGCAAATAGCAAAAAAGTGTCGTGACAACTTTTCGTAAGAATTTTTTCCGTCTAGCCCCCTTTCACAACGCGCGATAAGGAACTTCGTTCCAATAAAAAAAAAACAATTATAAAAAGTAAAGGTCGATTTCAAAATGTGTGAGGGAAGCAACTATGGATTTCCAGACCTAGCTCGTTTATCAGAATGCGTCATCTGTAAGGAGAGACAAATAGGATAATCGGATGGGATTCTACAAGTATACAATAGCACAAATTTTTTCATTGAGTTAAGTTTAAATATACAAGTCAAAATAAATTTAGATTCCGTAAATAGAAGATTGTAAAACCTAAAAGGCGTAACAATTACATCTAATTTCGTCCAACGCTTATTTAATTTAGAGCTGAACCCATATTTGGTTTTATAGAACTCTTGAAGTTCGGCAATATATATTGAATAATTGTCCTGTCCACCCACTTAGTTTAATTACAATTTATATTTTGATAGTCGATTCTAAGATGTTGTCTTCCCTTGAACGTCATGCAATCAATTACAGTGCCACATACTTTTCGTATCCGGTAAGAGCGTCGCTGTCATGGATATTAGTATTGCCAGTAAATAAAAATGAACATTATAAGGGGAATAATTTGAAGCCATGCAGGCTGACTTAATAATTTATTGAAATATCTTAAATAACAATGTATAATAGTATCTAAAAAATACAGTTCTAGGCTTAAATAAAGTTACCACGAACTTAGGATCAACTCATATGAAATTTTTCGACTCATAGTGAATATATTCAAACTGACAACTTCTCACAACCCGTCATTTTGGATACAGTATAATATCTCTATATAAACCAAGTATAATGAATAACGACCCGGAAAGCGCATACTTGCTAGGAGAGATTAAGAAACTGTACGTTCCGGACAATTATCACTTTGCCGGAAACAAAACCCTTTTGCTGTGTAGCACTGTCCAGTGTCAATAAGCTCCCCCCCCCCCCCCCCCCCCCCCCCCTTTTTTTTTTTTCCCCCCCTCCACCTATTTGTGAAGAACCACCCGTCCCCCCCCCCCCCCCCCCCCCCCCCCCCCTTCCCCCCCCCCCCCCCCCCCCCCCCGTATAAGGTTTAATATACTATTATTTAAAAATGTTCTTAGAAAAGATTAATGGATAGCAAAAGGTTTTCTGTAATTGATTAACTTAATTGTATAATTAGTTTTATAATATTTTTAGTTGAAATTTAGCCATACATAAGCTATAAATAAAGAAATAAAATAAAATCTCATACTCAAATAACTCGAATTATAATAACTTGTATTCGCCGAATTAAATTATTTTAATCCAATCGTTGTACAACACGATAATATTAACATTTTTATTGTTAACTTATTATAATATTTCTTACTCTTGAATTGAATTGTTTTATTGTTCTTAAATTATCATTTTTCATTGACTACAAACAATACGATCATTAAGAGCAAAGGAAGACATGCGCGCGCGCACTGGAGCGCGACTACGTTCATTCACCATTGTATTCTTATTAGCTTTCTGCTGAAACAATTTATGAATTACCGATTGGTATTGATCTATAGGCAGGTCGAGGTTAGACAGCATCACCTTGATGGCTGGAAGTATTCCACTAACTAACTAGCTAGCGAACTGTGGAATCGACTCCCGGTGGGGGTCTTCCCTGGGAGATACGACCTCCAATTGTTAAAACAGAATTCCCCTCCTAAAGGCCGGCAACGCACCCACTAAAATGGGTGTGGGCTGCGATGACTGCCCTTTTTACGTAGGCTCGTTTACTCGTTTACTATCCTATAAAAATATGATATATAGAGGATTTTTTTTATCAACGCTATAATCATAATAATTGGGGAGTATTCCACTTTTTCATATATTGAGATAAACAGACGTTATGCTTACTGAATGCTGTCTGTCTGTCGACACTATCGACATCTTTATATGTTCACAGATGAGTTCACAGTCGCGATATTGTGTATCTTATGTATTTAATATTATATATTTTATTTTTTTAGACATTATCGTGTTGGCGTAAGTACTTTAAGGATAGTGTGTATGTCAATAAATAATTAAATAAATCATTTTCTGCAGACATTGATTGATGTTAAATGTTTCATGAATCTTGCATAGCATTAGATAGAATTTAGAATTAGAATATATTTTCTCGCAGATGTCAGACCAATACATGTGGAAGGAACAGATACACACGCTGATGAAGGGAGAAAGTGAGTCCGATATTTCGGATACCGAACACTTTCTCACCAAAGGCGCCTTCTTGCTAACACCCTCCCATGGTCTCAGTATGGAGAAGGCGTCAGCCATTTGCGAGAAGATGGAGTTTAAAGGATGCTTCTCCCTAACAAAGACCGCTACGGGGATTTTGTTCAAGTTCTCGAGCGTCGATGATTATCAGATGGTCTTCAAGAAGGGATTCCATAAGGTTACGGGGTCAAGGTTTTATCGAAAGGTAATTTGAGCCATCTTACATTTGTTGTCATAGTAGTCTGCTAAACTGATTTTGATAGGTTGAGAGAGATCTCAAAAATATTTTTATTGGAAACATATTCAGTTGAAATCTAGTTCTGGTTATTTATTTATAGAATTTTATATAAAAAATATGACAAGTTAGTACATAGAAAGGGTTTGTTGATAAATTAACAAAAATATATATAAAACTATAAGACATGTTGCTAAAAATTGTTTCTTAATGTATTATTTGAATAAGGAGCAGTGTTAGCCTTGTGGCTTCAGCGTGCGACTCTCATCCCTGAGTTGGTAGGTTCGATCCCCGGCTGTATAGAATAGACTTTCTTTCTATGTGCGCATTTAACATTCGCTCGAACGGTGAAGGAAAAAATCGTGAGGAAACTTGCCTTAGATCCGAAAAGTCACCGGCATGTATCAGGCACAGAAGCCTGATCACCTTCTATATTAGATTGACAAATGATCATGAAACAGATACAGAAATATGAGGCCCAGACCTATAAAGGTTACTGATTGAGCAAATAGTATACAGTTTTATTATTCCAGATCGCAGTACCATGTCGTCCTCAAAAGACGTTTACCATCTATGTGTATGACATTCCTGACGACATCCCGGAGGAAGATGTGAGGCACGCCCTTTACAAGTTCACCTCTGTAGTGGAGGTTGTGCGATTGCATTACGCAGGATCGCCGAGGGAAGGAAATACTGGTATGGTTTTCTTTTGGCAGTATACCTATGTATTATATTTTTCTAATATATTGAGATATTAAATTCCATTCGCTCTATTATTCTATTCTAATTAATTTAGACGCTAGATATGTCTAAATCACTAACTGTATTGTCTAAAAGATTACTTAAATGATCCCAATTTTTGCAAAAATGAGTTGCGGCACTTGAAAATGTATGAATTGTCGATCGACTGTTAAGTTAACATAAAACCCGGTTTCTTGACTTGTTTTTTCATACAAGCGCTAGTTACGCTAATAATATAATCTTTTATAAACTGTTTTTCGACTTTTCAACTAGCTCAAACTAGCTCTTCTTCTTTTTCTATTAGTTAAAATGTATGTAAAATGTCTATCCCGCAATATTGCAATTTCATTTTAAAAAAATAATAATCTCGAGCTTTTAAAAGAATTGCTTTGTTTAATATATAGTGGTTTAAAGGTTAATGCGTAGTTTTTAATAAAGTACATCGAAATATGCAAGTGTTTACGATTAACATCATTGTAAGATCTGGAGAAACTAATCATAAATTAAATATTAATGACACCACATTGTATTGTCTTTAATCAATTATGAATTACAGCTAAAGGATAAATTATGGTTTAAATTTTTCCTCCTTTTAATTATTATGATTACCTTTACGTAACAAGTTTTATAATTCAATTTGCTTAAGAACTGTTATAATGTATGTCTAACATCGATGTACACAAGGTAAGGTGTAAGGTAAGGTATTGTTAATAATAATAATAAAAGCTAAGCTTGCTGCGATTATTATAATGATTTCAGTTTTGTGTCGCGCATCCCGTTACAATGACCACTATAAGCCTTGACTTGTTTAAGGAATATGCTTAAGGAGTATTAAGAATATGCATAGCGCTAAATCACCTTCACATACACACCCTCACTTCCACACCATCACACAGTACAGCCGAATTGGTTATTACGTATTTAATATTTTTTATTGAGATTTTCCTTTTCTAAAAATTTGAACCTATTTGTAGGTATATAGGTGTGCTATGTATTCCATCGTTGGCTACATGTTTAGAATATTTTTTGTTTATATTAGCTGTAGAATTACGAAATACATAAATAAATTGCTATTAATGCCTAAAAAGTACGGCTGTTAAGTTTATTTTGCCGAGTGTACTCACGTAAGTAGTAGAGTAATCTACTACCAAATGTAAGAAATGATAAAATATTAAGAACAAATGTCCTTTTTATTTGAATTCTACATTTCATTTAATTAATTTAAGTGTATATGTTTTAAATTATGTCCTGTATAGTGTTTATGTTTGTACAAAATAACCTCCTTAATTCGAAAATGCTGAAGGGAGGAAAAGATGGGTTATCTAGAAAAGCTGTGTGAGCCTAAGACAAGTGGATGATCCGTAACTACTAAACTGAAAAGTTTTTTCAGAAAATCCTGTTTTTATTTTACGACATTCGACCTCGGTTTCACTAACTAAATGCGTGACCGACTGCGATGATAATATTATTGAACTCGTACACCATTTTTAGGCACTTCCACACCGAAACCCGATAAATCATCACCTCGATCCATCACCACCATAGACGGTGAAATGGTCAGCAGCATGGTACCCAAGGAAGCCTCTAGCGTAGTTCGCATCACCCTGGCGAATATAGAGGAAGCTAACATCCTCCTACAGAATGGTTTGGACTTTTACGGAGCCACTTACTTCCCGACCGAGCTTGGCACTTCTGCGCAGGCTGCTAAGCTGGTCAAACCAAGCAGGTCAGTAGCTTTTAAGATATAGACTTATACTAGATATTTAGATAGATAACATCAGAGCTACTGAAGAATTTCTGAACCAATCCGACTTAGACTCCTTCAAAAAAAGAGCGTACCAATTCTTAAAAGGCCTGCAACGCACTTGCAAGCCTTCTGGCAATGTGAGTGTCCATGGGCGGCGGTATCACTTAACATCAGGTGAACCTCCTGCCCGTTTGCCTTCTATTACATTTTTAAAATAACAGAGTTTGTTGTCATGGTTACGATGACTTCAACGTAACGTAACTTAGTAACAAGTACAGCTCTAGCATTTCATAACGTTTACGTATTAATTCTAATTAATTAAGGTAAAATAATTATTTATTAAGTCACATAATAGAGCATGGAATTAAACAGTTAATCTGGTAGAATTTTAATTATAAATGGTTTATATAACTCAATTAAGCTGTCAATTATTGCCATTGCTTTGATTATTTAATAAACTGTATAATTTTAGATGTAGAAATAGTTTTAGAGTATAATTTGCACCGTCGCACGTAGTGCTTTCCCTCACCATCACCTTAACCTAAGTCTATCTTTTCACAGATCCTATACTTCTAGGGTGACTGGGGGAACAGTATCAGCTCGAGTTCGGGATCTCTTACCAGTTTTTGATCAGCAAGGCTTCACCAAGTTCGCCCCACCAGCGTCAAGATTGGTTAAGCCAAGAAACAAGTGATTTAATCGCCTTCCTATTTCGGATATATCAAAATCTTTGTCAAACCTATCGTAACGGTCGTCGCTTTTAGTTCAGCCGAGCAATTGTAATAATAAACTCATATTCTGATACATAATATTCGCAATTAATTATTTGAATGTAATCTAGCGCAATAAAGTATTTAATTTCGCATAAGTTTTAATCATTTAGATTTTTAAATTTAATAATTAAATATGCATGACGAAAACAAAAGAGTATCAACTACGCAAGAGATGTTACCCTTCATAATATGCACATATTATGTAATAATTAATTTGAATATTTAATAAATATAGGTTTTTGGTTAGGTATCTACTATTTATTTCCTGTTATTCATACATTAAAGTACCATATGCATTTATTGTAACAAACTAATTGTGCCATTTTAGCAATAAATATTTTAATATAATAAATTTAGTTTTATTTGTTTCAATAACAGAGGGAAGGAAATTGAAAAACGAATAAAATAAGGTAAATATTTTTAATATTTTGCTAAAATTAAAATATCACAGATTAACATACATCGTGCTTTGAGCATTCTTAAAATTAGGCTATACTTTCTTTTGGCTTTTTGAACTTATCTTCTATTTCTTGAAGACTTTTTCCTTTCGTTTCTGGCAAGATAAAGTATAACACACCAGTACCTAACAGCGCAATTAATCCATATGAGAGAAATGTAACTACCTCTCCTAAATTCGTCATCATACCGGGTGCTGTTTTCACCACTATAAAGAAGGAAACGAATGTGGTTGCTGAACTGATCCCTGATCCTAAACCCCTTGTTTTGGAAGGGAATAATTCTCCACACATCATCCAAGGTAGCGGAACAAGACCGACGGATATGGCACAAATATATGTCATAAGGCAAGTGAGTGGAATCCAGGTCATATTTGTTTGCTTGCCATCTGTGAAGTAAAGGAACATAGCTAGTCCCACCATTGAAATAGCAGTGAATACACCACTGACCATGCATAATGGTCGTCGACCATATTTTTTACAAATAACACAAGCTACCACAGACATAATAGTCCTCGTAGTGTCTATTACAAGCATAGCTAGGTAATGATCTAATCCTTTACCAACAGCTTTCTCTATTATCTCTATAGAATAAAACGCTACAGCGTTGACCCCAGAGAACTGGCAGGTCACGAAGAAAATTATCATTATCATCAAAGGTTTAATCAACTCTGGGCTCTTCAAGCTGATGAGCTTCTGTTTAAGTGTCATAACTGGTTTGGAATCTTCTACCTTCTTCTTTTCAAGAATAGCTTTCAATTCAGCCTTTGCTTCATCACTATAGCCTCTGAGCCATCCGAAAGCTTTGACGCCCTCTTCTATTTCCCCTTTAGATATAAGCCAAGTGGGACTTTCGGGCACCATGCTCAGAAGAACTACTGATATTATGGGAAAGACACAGCAGATTATAGCGGTCCATTGCCAATGGACGTATGTTCCTATCAAATGGGCAACTAGAATACCTACAGCTATAGCTAATGATATCCCCGCAAGGAATATTCCTCTATGTTTAGGGTCTGTAGTCTCACTGATGAACACTGGGCCTAACGGTCCTAAGAGACCTACACATAGGCCTGTAAAGAATCTACCTAATAACATAAGGGCAAGATTATTGGCTGACGCGATGAGGATCCAGCCAAGCAGGAATGGAGCGCAGACCATGTAGTGTGCGTTACGTCTTCCAAACTTCTCCATCAGCCAACCAGCTATGAGACAGCCTGGAGCCATAGGCAGTGCTGCCATTGCCGCTGGAAAAACAAAATGTATTTGAATGTCATACAGTTGTACTAAAATAAAATCGGCGTAATATTACGTAGGTAGATAGGCAAGCGAATATTGTTGCTTTGTTCCAAACGTCAGAACTTATCTTGATGACATAATTTATGTCCTCATTCATAAAGCTACAGAGTAATTAACTGCACAACGCACATTTCTCTGTACTCCCGATAATAAGTGGCAATGCCCGCAAAACTCGGCTATCTCATTTGTTACATTTTACACAGTCGCTTTGTGTAATTTAGTTGAAATAAGACAAATTCTTAGATTTAGTTGAAATAAGACAAATTCTTAGATTTTATTTTCAATTCATATAAACCTAATGAATAGGATTATAATTCTCTGATGTCGTGATGGTACATTTCTACAAAGTTTGTTGGTACAGTGAAATAAATTTATTTACTGATTTATTTATGCTATGAGTATCAATAGCGTATGTAAGGCTGGCTCAACAATGACTTGCAATTCGTGCTTAACTCCATTAATAACGTGATTATAATGCTATTTTAACTTTATGCCAGAATTAAAAGTAATCAACATCGTTATTTAATCACAAAATGTAAATTTAAGTCAAGGCGGTCTATTTCCGTAACGAAATTAGCTTATTTATATATGTACTATATATAATGTATATTTAATGATATGTCCAATTTAATACGTACTTTTAGTCAATGTTGATCGAACTTTTAAATTCAGATGAAATACCTTTACAGATGTGTTTTTTTTAATGTTACAGGAGGCAAACGGGCAAGAGGTTCATCTGATGTTAATGGATACCGCCGCCCATGGACACTAACACTTTCAGAAGGCACGTAAGCGCGCTGCCGGCGTTTTAAGAATTTGTACGCTCTTTTTTTGAAGGAGTCTAAGTCGAATTGGTTCGGAAATACTTCAGTGGGCAGCTTCAGTGTTGACGAATCATTATTAAGCGGAAAGGGCCGTAGTTTCGTCTTTTGTTTTAAATTTACACCCCATAGGTAATAAATAAAAACGCAACAATTCAGTGTTCAATAAATAATGTATAAACACTAATTGTTCGACGTATAATCGTGTCAATTATACACTTTATGATCAATGTGACGTTATCAATAGTACTTGTGTTAGACTTTGATTTAACGAGACCTTGTACAAGGTAGATAATAATTACTGTCTTGTTATTTACACGCAAAGTGAATGTGAGGTGGAAAAATTTCATCTTTTCAGATAAAATAGACTTTGTTCATTTGAACGTCCTTATCTCTGGAGCTACTGGTTCAAATTGAATAATTATTTTGTTTTTTTTGTCCACTTATCCAGAAAGGCATGACTGAATTTTTGCTATGTAAAATTCTACGTAACATTTAACACCCATACAATCCGAGATAAACATTTGAAACATTAAATTGTATTAATTTGTGGTCGAATTAAATATTATTTAATATGACACAGATTCTATTTAAAACATGTATAAAATAAACCAGTGGCGCTACAACCTCTTTAGGTCTGGGCCTCAGATTTCTGAATCTGTTTCATGATCATTTGTTAATCTAATAGGCAAGTAGATGATCAGCCTCCAGTGCCTAACTCACGCTGTCGACTTTTTGGGTCTAAGACATGTAGGTTTCCTCACGATGTTTTCCTTCACCGTTCGAGCGAATGTTAAATGCGCACATAGAAAGAAAGTCCATTGGTGCACAGCCGGGGATCGAACCTACGACCTCAGGGAAGAGAGTCGCACGCTGAAGCCACTAGGCCAATACTGCTCCAAACACACATGTATATCCTTTCTATAACATATTTTCATAAGTATCTGATTATCCTCTAACTATAATTACCTATCCATGAAGCTGTGCTCTCATCTGTAGGAATACTGCTATCGGAAGCCTTAAGTTGAGGTAGAAGAATGGCTGAATATCCAGACGTAAGACCAGCGGTAAAGGTCAGACAAATGGCTGCCATCGATGCTAAAGTCTGAAAAAATGTTTTAAACAAGATAAAAAATTTACTACACTTTTTCTTACGAGTAAAATAGTATTTCTCAAACAATATACGGCCTATAGCAGTTGGGACTGATAGTTTTTTCATTTATTTATTTAATGTACAAGCCACAAGGAATCGAGAAAAAAACATCTAACCACGGATAACCACAATAAACGGATGATAAACGGCTAATATCGGAATATACGAGATTCCTCCAACTTTGATTTTGTTCCCTCTGGAGACTCTTGGGCCGTGGCGTTCAAGTTGACAGGCGCTAATTAAGGATTTAAGTTGGTGCCTGGTAGATAGTACGGGTGACCCCAGAGCTGGTGCTTTCCTCCCTCAACGAATAAGTATTGCAATACAGCGAGAAAATGCTGCCAGCATGTTTTAATTAACTATTTATCAATTTATCTATATCAATTATATTAATTAATACAATGTAGGTTACGAATATTGTAACCTACATTGTTGTTGTGTTTGTGTATATTTGTGTTTGAAATAAATATAAATATCTTATATACAGATAAAAATATATACTAACAAAATACAATACGAGAAAATTTGAATGGTCGAATGTTAATTTTGCTTTTGTAAAGTTTAGGGTTTTAAGTTGAGTCATTAGTCCGTAAGTTTATACTAACATAATGATGGATTATTTTATCTGAACAAATAAATAAATATGAATATATTAACATATTTCTTTAGCCTGAAATTAGAAGCGAAGTACGAAAACGGATCCATATCAGCCTGAGCATCAGATAGTTTTGCTATAGAAATGAGCGTTAATAACATTGCTATAAACAGGTTTATAGATAATGAAAAAATATGTCATTGTTAATAAACATGTGCATTTATTACTTATAACGCCCAGTTTTAAAGGAGAGTTGGTAACTATATGTTATCAACTAACATGTTATGTGGATAGTTTTAGAAATATATAGTTGCAAATTTGAAAAGTTTTTTAAGAAAAAGAAAACCTTTATCATACATAATAAAAAGGATTTTTAGTTAATAAAGTACACTAGGATTCACTGCGTCATGGGCTAGTCACTTCCATTTGACCTATTAATTTTTATAATAACATAAATAAATTTTATAATTAAACTACTGACATGTTTATCATGCTTTCATCTCAATCTGCAATTTACCGATGATTTGACTCGGCATTAATTAGATTATCTAGGTAACTAAATAACTGGGCGTTACATTTGCTTAAAAATATTAGCAAAACTCAAAAACCATTTATTCATGTAGGTGCTTCTTATTTTACATTTACTGCCAGTTCCCAAATCAAGGGCGTAGAACGGAAGAGAAGAACTGGAAATAAACTCTCCACCACTATTTTTAATCGCCAAGTTTTTTGTTTTACACAGCGTTTGTAAGGAGCTGCAACCATTACACCGTGTTCCACATGACATCTCAAGTATTAAATAATAATAAAATTAATTAAAAACAAAGATTTGTCCTCTATCAGCAGAAGGCATGGTGAAATAGGAGCACGCACTTATATTCTCGTGGGAACAACACGCTTACTGTCTGATAGCTGTTTTTGTATGAAATGTTTTCGGCAACACTAGCAGCTAAACGCACTCGTCACAACTGCCGAAAAACTAAACAAGTTGTTGAACGTAAATCAATGTGTCTCGCTTAACATACATACATATATTTTACATAGTACTTATTGCATAACCTACAACTTCATTAACCCCATATCAAAGACGTTATTTTTTTATATATAGTGGAAATAATTGTGTTTTTTAAGTGAATGGCTGACATGAGGCTGATATGTCTTAATATCGTTATAATAATTAATTATTATAATTATTATTGATATTGCGAACTTAAGGAAAAATATTGAAAAAATATAAAACCCATTTACAATAAAGTATTATATAACGGACGTTTAAATTGTAATATTATAATTACTGATCAATTTATGATTACTAATGAATTGATCTTAGTTTGTAAAAAAAATATAATTAACATGGAAGGACAAATATAAGAAATCTATTTCAAATTACTATATTAATCTGAATTTATGTGTAACATAAAATAAAAACTATATAATAATGACATATTTTTTTTTACTTTGATTCAATTAATCACGTTTTATAAGTATATAATGCATAACCTGAAACGTAAAGCCTCGTCTCGGACACTCTTACCTTATCAATAAATATAAAATAAAAATATTATCTTTTAATTTCCTCCTTATCTTACGACATTGACACTAATTATTATTATCCTATTAACAAGCTAAGTATGTTACACTTTTAAACAAGGGTTTATTATGATTATTAGATAGAGGACAAATCTTTGTTTTTTATTTTATTTTTTAGTTTAGGTATATTTTTTTTATTATTATATAGAATTACTTAAAGGTATTTTTACTTGCAGCTACTTACAAACATTTTGTAAAACAAAAAACTTGGCGATTAAAAAGAGTGGCGGAGAGTTTATTGCCAGTTCTTCTCGTCCGTTCTACGTCCTTGATTTGAGAACTGGCAGTAAATGTAAAAATAGAAGCATTTAATGTGTATTTCTTTATTGAAGTTCAGAAGTGTACATTGTGTTACCTATATGAATAAATGAATTTGAATTAAAAACAATGGAGTACAATCTAACTCTATTTTATAAAGAGATTATTTTTCCTACGTATTGAATGAGATGTTCATTATTAGCTGCCCCGGCGAACTTTGATACGCCTCATTATGATTTATTTTATTTAAATAGCCAACAGCTTTTATAAAAATTACAAAACGTATAATAATTGACAATAATAATTAATAAAGAATTGCCATGAACCACTTACCCTAGTAAAATGTAATACTTATAAATTGGTGTATCTGCGTACGCATGTGTTTATGTGTAAGTGCGCGTTTGTGTGTGAGTGAGAGAGTACGTGTGACTATTTACTTTTAGTATTATTTTGTATAGCATTTGCCTTTAATTCTTTATGACACTGCTTTTTAGGTATATCCGTACTATTTTTCCAATTTTTCTCTGCATAAAAACCTTTTTCAGATATAAATAAAAATAAAAACTCGAATAGTCGTCTTCGAGTTTTATGCTAAGCAATTTTAAATTAATTTTTATCTATGCTGATATAAAAAAATTTGGTTAAGCAAGCGGATTAATAGATTAATTACCTGTTTCCATATTGGCGAAAATCTGGCCACTGTCTTAGAATCCGGCAAAAGCATTTCGTCCTTTATAATATTACTGTGAAGGGATAAACCAGAATTCATAAGATTCTGCACGTAATGCGCCATCTCTTCCCTGTTCGGTTCAATTATTTTTTGACCGTTTTGTGTCTGCTTTTGTTCATTTATTTCGTTGTATTTATTAGTTTCTATTGGTTTATTTGTTTCTTTAATATGGTTGTTGTTCCGTTCTTCTTCGGGTTTTGTAGTTTCTACAGTTTCTTCATTCTCGTTTTTGTCCACTCCCATTCTTGTCTGTAAAAATATATTTATTTTCATTACTATTAGGTTGATATGAATTTTATAGACAGCTAGCCCGTTACTGTTTAGTACCGAAATTGAACTTAATATTTTGGAACCAAGTGTTGAATAACTCGTTTCATACAATTGAATGGTATGTTTATAAAAACTATATATAATCATTTGAAACGACAAGCTCAGGACAACTCAACTATACAAGTAACTATATATTATATATACGGAAAAGAAAATGTAATTAGTATGTTTTTAATAAATAGAGGGCTTTAAAGCCAACCTTACCACACAACAACGAAAAAAATATATTTTATTATAAAGACTATTAATTTGCATAATGTAATTAAAGATTTGTAAAGAAATATTTAATTGATAATTGATAATATTTATTACGGCGCACAGTAAGTTGGACGGCAATAATAAAGTATTTTATTTACAATAAATATTGTAAATGACAAAGATCGTGAGTTCTGTTACCTTGTCAGTTAAGTAATAGGGTTTATGATTTAGAGATATGAGATCAACATTATCTTTGTTAACAGTTGTGTAAAATCGTATTGAACGTATTCATAATGCAATTTGTAATAGCAAATAGCGTACACTACACGTCCTAAATATCAGGGAAATGTGTTGGATTACCTGTGATACAGTTCATAACAGGTTTGTTACAGAGGGCTAAGCAACTGCTAAAAAATTAACAGTGATGGAGGTGACCTTTTGAAGCGGTTAGAGACTTCAAACCACACAAGTTTTGGTTGAAGTCATCGCTTATTGGTTTAAGGCTTTTATGAAAAGGAAAGACCAACCTTGAAAATAATAGTGTAATGTCATCTGTAATTTTGATAAATATTTTTAATTGTAATTTTTTTTACCAAAATCGAAGTGTCGGAAAATTTCAAAATCCTTATATATTAACTAGCTGACCCGGCAAACATTGTTTTGCCATGTATTTTATTTCTAGGAAAAAAATTTTTAGTTCAATAACTATCTACTATGTATAATAAAACATTGGGTTTGATCGTAGAGGGTAAATTAAAATTAAGGGTTGTATGTATTTTTGTATGCTGTATCATATAAAAATAAAAACAATTTTTTTTGTCTAAAAATAAAAATTTTGGGGTGGACACCCCTTATCACATAGGGGGTTAAAAAATAGATAGTAGCCGATTCTCAGATTTACTGAATATGCATAAAAAAATTTATAAGAATCGATTGAGCCGTTTCGGAGGAGCATGGAACGAACATTGTGACACGAGAATTTTATATATTAGATTATAACTAAACAGTTTACTGTCGAATATATAAACTTAGGTAGGTAATAGAAAAGCTCTTGAAGATATTCCAGTTTTGTTAGCGTTTTGTAATACAGACATTTAAAGTGAATTCATCTGCCTGAGTTGAAAATTGCATTCGTCTCAACGAACATACAACATATTGTATATGTATTTGTAATAAAATATGTTGGGCCCTTTTTAGCTAAACTAGAATAATTAAAGTCGTAGATGTTTTAGCATGTTTACACACATTTTGCAATAAGCAACTCATTCCTAAGTACAAAGATAATTCAAATAAATAAAAACAAATTAAACACATTATTTACTTGCGAAGATTTTATTGATAAATTTTCTCTTCAATACAAGTCTTGTTCTAGATAAACTCATTCAAATACTTATTTTAACTATAACATTTAATTTCAATGCAAAATTATCTAAATTTTTACAAAGGACCCTACACCCGAACTATTATAAACCCTGGACTACAAATAATACAGTGTTTGTAACTATGGCAACAAAAGCGGTAATATGTTTTAGTCCAGGTTTTATATTTTATTTTATCGTAATTTTTACAAAGAAAAGTCTGTATAATAAATTATATATGCAGCGTCAGAATTACGTTGGGAAAACTTTGTTTATTCTCTTTGTATTATAATTACAATTGTAAATAGTTTGCGTTTTTCTACTATTTACTGTACAAGTTCTATGTGTCATAAATGTGATTGTAAACAGCTACTATGAACATAATTCTCAAGGAAGGGAACATAAAATCCATCTATTATAGGTAAAATGTGTTTTCAAGTCGACTTGTATAATAGACAATCGAATCCTGGACCACAATAAATGACATGTAGGTTTGGTAAGACTGAAGCTTAAAGCCTACAAGGAGTTTTTATTTTTAAGTATAGCTGAAGTTTATATGTAAATTTTCTAAGGCCGGCAACGCACTAGCGGGCCTTCTGGCAATGTAAGTGTCCATGGGCAGCGGTATCACGTAACATTTTCAAATTCAAATCAAATTTTTTGGCATTTAGAGCAAAAAAAATTTTTTTCTGCTCTAGTGCCAACAAATTTCTGTAATTTTTTATTTTATTGTGTGCTTGTATTATCGTATATGTTTTAATTGTATTTTTAATTTCTATTAAATCTATTTTTTGTGAAACGTATGCTTTCATTAATTGTCACACATTTTAGATGTAAGATTTTGTAAAATAATGTGTGTGATGTCGTAAGCTTAATAACTAAATAAATAAATAAATAAAGCTTACATACTGAATCTAAATGATTTAGTTCGAAGAAACTCATTAAGATCTTAAAAAAAGCTACATAGACATAATTTTTTGATCCTCTTTCATCCATTTAGAATATTTAATAAACCGTTTAGATTAATTTCGAAGGTTTGATGTTGATATCCGGGAAACAAAATTAAGTACTGTCTAATTGCTTAGCAACATGCAATTAACATACACGAATATATTATGTTACGGTAAAATTAATCTCTTTACACGTGCTTGATAAAATTAACAATTTAATATATTATTGCTACTAAGATCACTAATCAAAAATCAAAACAAGAACATGTTAAATGCAATAAACAGATGACGTTATAATAATCTACACATATACTTATAATAAATTATAATCTTTGTGATTGAATATTTAGAAATCTTCAATCGTGACTTATGTAATTCTTGTATTTCCTATTCTTTTGTATTGCATATTAAAGTCATGAATCCTTTCTTTAGATTAGCTTTTTATGTTTTAGTTTATATTATTAAACTTTTTTGTATTACTTTAGATTAAGGTTAGTGATTCTATAATTTTTTTAAATAGGTTTTTTTTTTCCTTACTAGGGTCACCTAGTAGAGACTAGAAGGGATTGCTTGTTTGTAAGGCCCACCGTTGAATCCCTTATATTTTTTAAGTTTCTCTATAAATGTAATGAAGTGTAAATAAATAAATATTCGATCTGGTGACATTTTTTTAACTTTACTGGAATATAGACTACCTACGCCACTAACACAAGGGGTCGACAAGAATCGAGTCATAGCGCTAAGTAAGACTTCCGTATGTCATGGATTTTGGCATATCCCCGTTAGTCAAGTAAGTATTATTAGATCTCTTTGTATATTGCTAAAATATAATTAAACAAATTTAAAAAAATATGAAGTCAGATAAAAACCAAACAAAAAATGGTTAAATGTGTTTGAACTTTAGTTCAATCAGAATATATCGTAAAAACTGTTTTATAAAAAAAGCTATACATACTTAATTATAAGTTATTCAAGAATAGATCATTAATAACACAAAATGTTTGACCCTATAGTTTCATAATCAGCATATTATTAGTGCATTCTATACATGTTCCCTAAGAAACTCATGGATTCGATTTTTTTCAAAAACTCCTTAACTTGATGATACCTTGACTGTTTCCTGGTAGATACCAGATTTAAATCAAGGATCATCTCGACTTTAAGTTTCCAAGAAATATGTACACACGAAAGGCTTGAAAGACTGGCGTAATAAATACAGGGCGAAATGACCTCTGTTTTCGCAGTCAGTAAAACAAATTTTTCAATCATGCAGAAAGATGGGCCCAGAATTAATGGGACGCCAGAATAAAATATAAATAACATTTATTTTAGTTCAATGTTTATTCGTCTCTTAACCCCGATAGATAAATTGCGTTTGCGCCAGGAAGTCTTTGTTTTCATTTAAAATACTATTTGTTAACCTAATTGCAAGGTGCACAGATAAAAAATGGACCGTCGAAGCCGGGGTGGCTTACAGGAAAAAGAAACGGGACGAAAGTGATGGGCTGACGACTTAGTTGAGGTTTCTGGGAAGAGTTGGATGAAGGAAGCTAACAACAGATCCTAGTGGAAAGTCCATGAGGAGGCCTTAACCAAAAAGGGATCCATACTGCAGAACACAAAGAAACAGAAATAACAATCATTAACGTAGACTAAGCGTATAATAACAAAACTAATACCCATTTGATATGTTATTTTAATATTAAATATTATGACACTATCTGGTCAATATATTCTTGAAGCCATGTTGTGTGTACAAAAAAATATTTACGATTTTAAAACAAATAGTAACTTTCACCAGAATAATACTCGAAACAGAACTAATTTAAGCGTACGACTAACCAGGCTCCAGAAGATAAACCACACTTATATTGAAATTGTATTCGTTTATACAACAAAATCCCAAGAGAAATTAGAGAATTATCACTAAATAAATTCAAAGCTCTCGTTAAACGTAAATTAATCAATAAAGCTTTTTGATAATTTGATGAATATTTAAATGATCCTAATCCTTGGGATTGATTTGCTCAAGTTCAAACAATTTGTATGACTCAAAACTTAGCGATTAAAAATAGTGGCGGAGAGTTTCTTGCCAGTTCTTCTTGCCCGCTCTACGCCCTTGCGTTGAGTTGCGAACTGGTAGTAAATTTAAAATTAGAATTAATTTAACTCATAAGTGTACTTGTTTACCTATATGAATAAAGTTATTTTGAGTTTGAGTAAACAGTATGGAATTAAAGTGGCTTTATTATTATTAAAAGTCTGTAAATTATATTACCACAAGTGATTGGCTCTATTGAATTGCGAAAGCTCTTAATTAAGACGCCGACTGCAGCTTTGGCATTGCGAAGTCCACACATATTGAAGTTACAGAATATGTATGTTTTCTATAATATATAAGTTGTAT